TATCAAATATATCAAATATGTCCAGTATATCAAATATATCAAATATGTCTGACATTTAGATCTGCAACCTACTGCGTTACGTCCGTCAATCCAATCCTGTTACAATATCATGTTAATAAAAATAAGAATTTTTTTAAAAAATTTCAAGAAACTGTTTATAATTAAAAATTTTATCTATGAAACTGTCTTTAATATATTAAGTAAAAATTTTCTAAATTAAATTTTATATTTCAAAATCTTTATAAAATATTTAAAATAATTTATTATTAAAAAAATAAAAAAAGCGTTACAAATAAGATATGTAATAGGATGATACAAATACATTTTTACTTATTAATATATATTAAATTTTCAAATTTTTAATTTTTTAAAATAATTTATTATTTAATAATCACAAAAAAATAAAATTTAATTTGTTGGATTTATCTTATTAAAACCTATTAAATGATTATATTTTTATATTTTAAGATTAATAGATAGTAAGATATATAAGTTTAAAATTTAAATTTTTTTATAATAATTTATTTAAAATTTATTATAAAAATATTAATTTTTAAATAAATTATTTTAAAAATAATTACAAATAATTTTAATTATTAAATAAAATTGCAAGCAAATTTACCTACAATATGTTTAAAAAAATAATATATAAAAATATAAATATATTCAATAAAATGTATTAATTTTTAAAATAATTTTTATTAATTTATTATTAATTTAATTTTATTTAATATATTAATTTAAAAACTAAATAAATTACAATATAAACAAAATTTTATTTTTATTTTGATGAAATAATAATACTAAATATCATTGAATATATTTATTGATATAATTTTACCTAAAAAATATAAGCATAATTTCAAAAATGTGTTTTTAATTTAATTTTTTAAAATTAGCTAAACCTACTTTGGATTTAATATGAACAAATATCTTTATTAAAAATTCCTGTTATTAACCTGTTTTTTTTTGGAAAAGCTTTGATAGCAATAATGTTAAACAATGATGTAATTTCGTCTCCATCCAAACGTTTTTATCCTTATGAACTAGATTGTATTGTTTAAATTTTATTTCTTATTATTTCCGCACCTTTGGGATAATTTATTATTGAAAAAAAAGGAGACTCGTATATTCAAAGAAGTGTAACAAACCCTATTACTTTAATACTTAATATACTACTAAAAGTTTACTACAGTTACACAGAATTAATAAATAGTTACTTTTAATTGGCAATATGTAAAAAAACCAAACACAACAATGATTTTGCTTAATGTAGCTAGGTTGTTAGTTTTGAGGCAAAAACTGCTCTAATTTTTGAAACGCCCAATTCAATATAGTCACGTGTATCCATATTTCTGTTTCCCGCTTTACCCGATTTGCAACAATCAATGGGTATCTCTAAAAGTAACCATCAAAAATTAGTAGTTCCGGTGTAAAAAACTATTCTCTTCCTTTTTTTCCCTCAAATTTTTTGGGAAAATGAATAGTTTAGAGGTTGGACAATCTTCATCAGCGAAGTCTGATTCTGGTCGAAAAAAGAGATTGTCAGGTCCCGGTCCGACGAACCTTACCGAAGAGTTAGTATACCAATATGCGTTACGTGTCGCGTACTTGGTATACTTAACACAGCCGAAAATTCCAAAAGCTATAAAAGCTGCACCCTCCCAAACCGTTGCTCCCGCTTTTAGACCTCCTCAAGAGGCTTCAAAGCGAGGTAGCTTTGCGGGGAAAGATTCAAGTAAAACAACCCTTGAACAATTTACTAATCATCTCGTAGCCTTTCAAGATATTTTTAAAGATGAGAAAAAGTCAATGAAAAGCAATAAAATACCTAAAGAGTTGATTAAAATATTAAGAGATAGACTTGGAGATATTACGACCGGTAGAGATCGGAACCCAGATTATCAGGATCCTTACTTACAAAGGGATCTTTCATTATTTTATCATAGTTTACAACAGCAAAATTTTCGTAAGCAATTTAAAGAGAGTACTAAAATTGAGGACATTGTTTTAGCTTATCTCAAAATTGCTCAGGATGAACTAAAAAAAGCTCAAATGCCTGCTAATATCAAATGGCAAGCTAAACTTACAGAACATGTTGTTATATTTGTGGGCATATTGAAAGAATGTCTTTTAAAAACTTCATCGGTAACCCCTGAAATGATGTCACGACTAGAAATTTATTTAACCAAGATGTCTGGTGCGCCTAAAGTTCCACCGACCATAAATGGGATTAGTACGAATGTTGAAGATATGGCCATGGTTAAAATAGTTCAAGCGATTTTCAACATTTCTCCTAATCAAGCACAAAAAGATGTCAATGCATTAAAAAATATTTGTAGTGAACAAGTAAGTTTATAGCTCATCATTTATTATTTAATTATTTCTGTTTAGAATTTAAATTTATTTAGTTTATTTTATTTTATTTTATTTTTTTTTTTTAAAAAAAATAAGTCTGCATTAGAAGATCTTCGGAATATTATAAACCATGTAAATCGTGGCGCAAATTTTCCTGCTTGTAGAGATGATTTTGATTCGGATGAAGCTTATAACAATTGGAAAAGAATCGAGTTGAAACAAATTACAGAAAATATTGCTTTCATGATTGCACTTAATCCAGACTTAAATCTTAAAGAATCTACAGAAATACGAGAGACTATTTTGTCAGGACCAAATGATAAAAGGTCATCGGTAGCATCAAATCCGCGACGCACAACATTCACAGGATCAATGCATCCTGAAACTATGAACGATGCTTTTCGTCAATATGAAGAAGCACGTTCAACTGAACGCTCCATTGATTCACAATATCAACAACCAGGTTATACACATCCTTATAATCCACAGCAGTTACAATCAAAATACCATCACAGTAATCAAACACCATATCCACCATATAGTAATCCACAACCAACATATCCATATCCATCTTATAATAATCAACCATATCCACCAAATAATAATCAACAACAATCACATCCATCATATAATAATCAACAGCAACCGCCATATCCTCCTTATAATCCTCCATATCATCAGCCACAGAATTCAGTTAATGAACCTAAAGAAGCAATTAATCCGCCTATTGAGGTTTGTGTTCATTATGATAATTGTTCAGATTAATGTTTATTAATATCACCCTTAAATTATTTCATTTAGTCAAGTAGTCAAGGAGATTCTTTTACTTTTATTCCGCAACATCCTCGTAATTACTACAAGTATTTGATGTATAAGTGTATAGATTACGAGTTAATGTCACATGAAGAGGCTTCATTTAAGATCCTTTCAAAAAATACTCTGGATTTTCTTAATGAATGTGGACTACGTTGGAGAGTTTCGCCTGCATTTAGATGGTTGCAATATTTAGATGCGATCAAAAGTCGATATGATAGTCCTGATCCTGAAATCAATTCTCAGATTAGCTTGGATCACTTAAAGGAAGGTTTTCATTTATTGAATGATGCAATCAAGAAACGGCCTATTAATACATGGACTATTTCTGATGTTTGTATTTCTATTTCTATTTCTATTTATATTTATATTCTGTTTTCTTTTATTTATATAAAAAATTTATAACCAAATTTTTTCTATGATGTAGAAAAGGGAACTTATTGAAGTAATTTCGGGAATTCATGACTCTTTATTAAGAGACCTGAAAGATGGATTATCACAATACTTCAGGATTAAACCTCAAAGTTTTGAACCGATTTTGTCTTTGATACAGACAATTTATGAAAATGAATTGTTTCAAGAACAATATTCTAACGTTCTATCATCATTGTACAATGAACATAGATCTATTGTTATTGTAAGTACCTTTACATTATGCTTGTCGGTAGTACCTTTTCTAAATTTTATTAGTTTTTTTAATATAAAAGGAAGTAGCGATTAAAAAATACCAAGAAAAGAGAGACAAAATTTATAATCAAGCTGCTAATGAGGTTCATGCCTTAATATCTATTGTTCGATCATTTCAAGAAGACTTGGAAAAATTACGTGCCAAATTCCCAAAACCTTTAATAAAGTTTGTAAAAAAAAAAAAAGTTTATTCATACTATTATTTAAATGGTTTGCGCACAAATTCGTCTGCTGTTTAACAATTCCAAATATTTACGGGAAGACTTTACAGTTAGTAACATACTCTTTTTTTTTATCATTATTATCATAATGTAGCCAAGTCAATATTACTTGCTTGGTAATTAGAACGCAAATTCCTCTTTTTATTGCGGATATGGAAAATGCTACATCTGAAATCTTAAAAAAAGTCAAAATGACTTCTGAAGAAGGAATTCCCGTTGAAGATATTTTTGAATTATACAGAGAAGTTCTCGTTATCAAACAAATCTTTTTAGAAAATTGTCATGGGTGGGTTATCGTTTTAACAATTCGTTAATAATGAAGTTTGATTTTTGTTTGATAAGTGATTTTGCTTTCCATATTAAAAGTTTCCAAAAGATGTATTAATAACTATGCATAAATATATTTATATATATATATTTTTATAATCGATTTGATAATATTATAGTGAAAATTTTACTTTTAATATTCAAGAGTGGTTTGGACCTCATGTTCGTAAATGGTTAGAAGCTATGGACTCTAAGACTCCAGAATGGGTAGATTCTGCAGTTAAAGTTGATAAGGTGAAGTTCCATTGTAATAGTAATTATTAAATATTGTTGTATTATTCTTACATTAATTTTTACTGTAAACAGTTCAAAGCAGTTAGTGCTACAGACAGCCATTCTTCTTCCGTAGTAGATCTTTTCACATCTTTTAATCAAACTATTGACTTTCTTAAACGACTAAATTGGCCAAATGAATTCCAAAGTGCTCGTTATATGACGAGCTTATCTAGGGTAAGAAAATTTTTTTACTTCATATTACATACGTAATAAAATTTATTAATTTAATTTATAAAATAGACTGTTAGTAAGGCTTTAGAGCAATATTGTAATGTTATAGAGGGAAAGTTTAAGGTGGACATGTTTCCACCGGAAGAAACCGAACAAATTGCATCAAAACAATCTGCTTGGTATATTAGAGCCAAAACTGCCATGGCAACTGATAAAGCTGTTCCTTTGGATATTAAGCCTGAGGTAAATTGTCAGATCCGAGACCTTTTGTTAAATACTTGTAATCAAATAATTTTTTAATCGCATTCATAATTAATTTAATATTTTAATCCCATTAGTCTTGCGTTAAAATTAACAACATTGAAGCAGCACGTGAGCAACTTGATAGTTTGTATAACACAATGGATGTTGATTATTTAGCTCAAATTATTCGTGATTCAGACCAAGCACCGCCCGTTCCGGAAAAGGTGGAAAAAAATAGATATCTCTACACAATTAAAATAGTTCAAGCAGAAAATTTACCTGCACTTGATACTAATGGCTCCAGTGATCCTTACTGTGTGCTTTCGGACGAAAAAGGAATGAATTTAGTTCGGACTCGTGTAATATATGAAACGTTGAATCCACGTTGGGACGAAGCATTTGATATCACCATTGAATCTTCAGACAAAATGCGTTGGTTATGTGTTACAGTGTGGGACAGAGATCAAGTTGGTTCTGATGATGTATGTGGGAAAGCTTATATTAAGTTAGATCCTAAATTCTTTGATGACTTCTTGGCTCACGATGTTTGGCTAGATTTAGATCCACATGGTCGAATATTATTGAGAATAAGTATGGAAGGAGAAAAGGACGACATTCAATTTTATTTCGGAAAAGCGTTTAGGACATTAAAGCGTGCACATGATGATATGGCAAGAATAATTGTTGATAGAGTACGTATATGGTTTGGTTTTTATGATTTTCTTTTTATGAATTAAATTAATGTAGGTAATTTTTTTATCGTGTAGTTGTCTCCATTTTTGAGAAAATGTTTATCAAGAGATGTCATTGCAAAACTGGTGAAAAACCCCACTTTTCCTTTTAGTAAATCAAAGAGAATTGAATTGACAGATATGCAAATTGAAGAAGCGATTCATCCACTCTTCGATTATTTTGATCCTAACTTAATGACGCTTAATAGTTATCTACATCCTGTGGTGTTTACGAAGGTCATGACTAAAGTATGGAAAGAAATTGAATCTATTATTGAGGAACTTTTGGTACCTCCTTTATCAGATCGACCTTCTGAAATGAAACCTCTTAATGATACTGAGGTTGACGTTGTAATTAAATGGCTAAAGGTAAATGATTATTTTTTATTTGTTAATTCATTATTTACAATAATTTGATTTAATCAATTCATTATTATGTGATATATAGTTCCTTCATAATTATCTCCATGCTGATGGGAACGGTTTATCAAAAGAAGAAGTTCTTGAAAACCAAAAGTATCTTGATATAATGTCGATAAGATATTATTATGATATGGAAACCGATACACTTATGCAAGAATTCGTTAATAATCAAGTCACAAGTACGATAACTGTTAAAAAATCAGAAAGCATTAGTAAATCAGTAATGAATTCACGTAATTTAGGAACAATTAAAAACAGAAAATCTCAAAAACGTAAAAATACTAGTCAGGATAATAGTGAAATTATTTTAAGAATTTTAAGAATGAGATCAGGTACCAAAGTATTTTTGAAACAACAAATGGAAGAACGAGCTAAAAAGCAGGCTATTTCCTCTCAAAATTTAGATACATAAACCCTTTCATACTTTTTTTAAATTAAATTATTCAATACTTATTTATGTTACGGTTAACCATTTTAACCATTTTATAATATTCTTTTATACTTTATTTTATATTGTATTACAATTTTGAAATATATATATTATAGTTATTATTACTTTGTGTGTACATATTTTGTGAAAGAAATATATTTTAGAATAAAATGGCTTATGAATTCACAAATAAATCGTTTATTATCACATCATATCTTATTAATTGGTTAAGTATGGCAAATAATTACAAACAAACCTTTTCAACCAACTTATCATCCAAACCTGCATTTTTCATTAATTGTAACAAACTATTCTCAGCTTCATCAATCTCATTTACTAAATCATCGATTGTCTGAGTGTTCTTTTCAATTGATCGCAAATGTAAGGAGAGAGATTTTTCAATCTCGCAAAGTTGATCATCCTTTTCGGGCTTTAATAGATCATAACGATTAAAACAAACAATTAATATAAAATGAATAATAATAAATATTCTTACATCATATAAGCATGATGATTTGTCCCTTAATGATGGTTTAAAATGAAATTTAATTAATTCTTCGTCAATTTCAACCAAGTCTTCTACTTCTTCTTTTAATAAAGGATGTAGCTAGGGTTTAATAGGAAAAAATAAAGAATTTCTTTTTTAAGTAATTATTATTATTATTATTATTTTATCTTCTCATATCCACCTTGTTCCGCTGAAGCATTTTATTTCGACTGTCTACAGCCTTTTTGTCACTACGGAATATAGCTAAACTCTTTGAATCTTCTTTCAAAAGTCTAAAATCAAGAAATGTTAACATCGATGTAAAGTTTTTTAATAGAATCGATTAAAATAAAAATACTTGCAATTTCTCGTGTTCAAGTTGCATTTCCATTTGGCTGATCTGCTCCAATTCTTGCGCAAGTGTCAACTCCAATGCTCGCTACAGTGTAATATCGAAATATTAAAAGGTTACTTAATATCGCTAGAAATTTGATTTTATAATTAATTACATTTTGAGAATGAAGTTTGGTATAATCAAAATTGCTATTTTTTGATGTTTTTGGAACTTGAAGTGTTTCCAACTTTTCATCAATTCTTTTTTTACGCGTGAAACAAACAAGAATTCAGTTAATTGATTTTATATATATGATATTTTAGAGAATAATCATAATAAAAATAATCATTTACTTTGTAATAAGTTTGTTTAATAATTCTTGTAAATTATCCTTTCTCTTTGTACCACGAATACTATTCAGCACAACGCTACGGTTTTTTTTTTTTTATAAATTAATATATTTTAAATAATCAGTAAAAAAAAAAAAAAAGTTATTTATTGAATTCTTACGGAACAGAGCTCAATATAAGATCATGGATATGTTGTCTCGTTTTTGGACTTAAGGATTTCCAATGTATATCATTCGTGTTTTGAGATATCGAACGGGTAGCTGATGTACCCTGCGAAGCTAATTTTAGAAAAAAGGTTAATATAAAAACGTGCCAAATAAATAATCATTTAATTCTTTTTGAGATACCGCTTCTCGTAGTTCGTGAAGTACCCTTAGTCTTTTTTATTTGGTCGAAAAAAAGGTATTTATTTAAACAATTAAAACAATTGAAAAGATGTTTTCTACGTAATAAATCTAGTTACCATTATGAGAATTTAGAATAGACGCGTTAAATTTTGGAAATCGGTGGTTTGGTTTTACTTAGTTTACTTAGCTTTAACCGTTTTTAAACGTTTTTTTAAACGCGCATTATTTATCCAGTAAATTGATATGATTGGCTATGATTTTTGTTTGGGTATATTTTAAAAAGTAATTCTGGCCCGAATTTGAGACTAACCATTTTAGTTGCACAATTATCATGAAAATGGTTATTTTCCATCACTTTTAAATTTTTTGTTACTTCTCTTTCTTGATCTATAAATCAAACAAACTGCAATGTCTTCACAATTGTGAGTAAGGAAAAATATTTCTTGAAAATTAAGTTATTCATGCTTATGTCTTTATAATATTTTTAATCGTTTCAGTCGGAAGCGTAAATTGGACGACGAATTAAAGAAACAAAAATCAATAAAAGTAGAAGCTAACAGCGATGCGTCTATGTACAAATCTCCTTCGATGACACAAGGTTTTGAAATTAATGATTCTAACCTATCTGCAGGTTAACGTTTCGAGTCTTAATAATTATGGTTTTTTAATATTTATTCAAAACAAATTCTAAATAAAAAGTATTATTATTGTTGTCTTATAACAGCTTCTGTTGATAAAGGAGACGTTTTTAATAATGACGAGGTATAAAAATACGCGTTTCCTTTTAATTTTTAATTTCATAATTATAATTTATTTTCTTATCTCTCATTTCATTCTTGATTTGTAATTATTTCAGGAGCATAAACAAAGAAAACAGGCAGATGTGGAATTTATTAAAGATATAATACCTAATGATAATAAAAACAAACGTGTTTTCGGTTATAATTCAGAAGTATGTATATGGTCATTTTTAATGGATACAAGCTGTCATTCGTGTCTTATTCATTTTAATTAAGATTAAATTCCTTAAACTTTATAATAGAGGCAATTTGCTCCAGGTAAATCACTTGTCAACTCGTATGTAAAAGTCGTAGGAATGCAATTTGCTTGTACTCAAAAAAAAAAGATATTAGTGTCAATTCCTTGGATACCATACTGTCTAGTATTAAAAATCCGCAATGATGATAATTAAAATGGCAGAGTCGTTATATTTTATTTATTAGCCCGGATCACTCCTTAATGAATCCTTTTTCTTTTTTTCCTCAATTCACTCATAGCTCCAGGAATCCCGGGACAACATGTAGAACCTCATCGCCTTAGAGAGCTGAGGTCAAGAGTCAGAGAGTTAGTTGGAGTATCGAAGTTAGTTGGTTTTTTTTGTTTTTTAAATTCAAAGTATTTAGAGCGGTTATGTGCTGAAATAACGTAATAGTTATCAACTTTTTTTTATTTCACGTCACATAACCGTTCTTTAGTATAAGGTTTTCACTTGATAGTTATTATTCTCCTATAAACAAACTGATTTTTTTTTTAATTTTCTTATATATTTTTTCCTATAATAATTTTTTTTACAATAGTTTCCCTGGTATGTGATATTCACTTTATTTATCCATCCTAATAATTATCAGCATCATTAACATTTATTTTCTTTAACAGGAGCGCAACCAATTAGTTTTAGTTCCGAGCATATACAGGAATTGCAAAATGAAGAGTTAGTAATTTGTATTAATTTTCATTTGAAAAAATAAATAACTTAAATCGTTGATCTTTTTTTTTAGTTATTATGTTTGTGAGAAAACAGACGGAACCCGTGTATTAGCTTATATTACATGTGATAGTCCTGGGAATCCAGCTGTTTTTTTGGTCAGTATTATTATTTATTTAAACATTTGATATGCATTTTACATTTAGAAGCATAAGAATTCACTTACTAAACGAAGATATTACAGATCGATCGCAAGAATTATTATCGATTAATTCCAAATTTATTGTTTCCTATTCCTGAAGACCCAACATTTTCAAATTTTCATAATGAAACAATAATAGATTGTGAATTAGTAAATGATACTGAAAATGATGGAAATGTAAATATAGTAATATTTTTATTGTTTATTAAAAATTATAAGTTTTCATTGATTTTTTATTGTTGGTTTATTGTTCTTATTTAGGTTTCTCTAAAGCTTTTGGTTTTCGATTTGTTAGTAATGGATAAAAAGAACTTCATGAATAAGCCTCTTAACAAAAGATTGGGCGTAAGTTACATAGATTATGGAAACGTATATTATAATTCTATATATATTAATTGACAATTCTTTAATTTTCAAAGTATCTTCGTGATTATATTATGACCCCCTATGAAAAAATGTTGCGTAAACGTTCGGACCTTGCGCAAATGCAACCATTTTAGTGAGTATTATTATTTTACTTCACATAAACGATCAATTCTAACCTTTTTTTTTTCCTTACATAAAAAAAGTGTAATAAAGAAAGAAATGGAATTTTCTTATGGACTAGAAAAAGTTTTAAAACAAATTATACCATCTTTAAAGCACAAAAGCGATGGATTAATTTTTACATCATTAACATCAGGTTATTCGACAGGAACTTTCGAGAAAATGTTAAAATGGAAACCACCAAATGAAAATTCCATTGACTTTAAATTACATTTCGAATTCTCAAGCCATAATGAGAATGATAAACCGAGATTTTGTCTTTATAAATGGATACAAAAGGATGATCATAGATATTTTGATGATATGTATGTTACCGATGAAGAGTGGGAGCAGTTGTAAGTAATTAACGACTTTATTGAATTTATTCATAAATAACAATGTTGATTAACCAAATGATTCTTCGCATAAAGTTGGAAACATGATTTTCAACAATACGAAGGACGTATTGTTGAAGTGGTTTATAATCCTTCAATGAATCCACCATGGAGGTTTATAAGGTTTCGCGATGATAAACCACACGCAAATCATCATACAGTAGTTGAAAAAATAAAACAAAGTATAATGGATGGAATAACTGAAGAGCAGGCACTTTTTTTTTTCTATTTTAAATTATTACAAACGGTACACCATTTTAACAAGATAATCTTACCTCATAATTTTATTTATTTTATTAGTTACTATCAAATACATCCAAAATTCGAGATGCATGGAAGAAAAGAGAGGCCCTAAAAAACCAACAATCGCGTCATCACATAAACGAGTCAAGGGATAGAAGATAAAGCTTTTAAAGAATATAGCTATTGATGGTGGATTACCAAATGCTTTATTTAATAATCGATGTCAATTGTCTTTTTATCTTTATGCTTAAAGGAAATTTATTAAGAAAATCATAACGTTTCGGGAAGGATATAATAAGAACGTATTTATTTTTTTGTATAATCGAACATATTAAAGAACTTTATAATCAAATTTGAATTTTTCAATTTTATCCAATAAATTACTATCACTATATATATAGAATAATAAAGTTTGATTGTTTCCCAATATATTATTTAATTATTAAGTGCCATTATCTATTTATTTTTGGAATCCTATGAAAAATGTAATTAATTTATGAATAATGTTACCGTTTAAAGTTACCATATGATTGATTTACTGAAATTTCTCCACATTAGGTAAATCATAAGTTTGTTGAATAATTATCGAAAATTATTAATTCAATCCCACCTTTTGTTAGAATGACGTCTATTACTTGTTTCCGATTATCTTTTAAAGAAAACGAAACTGAAAAGATATTTTATGTTAGAGCTAATTGGAAAGTTGATCCTTTCAAAGGTCTATTAGGTCGTGATGAAAAAGTTATTTGTGAGTTAGCCGTAACTGACTGTAAATCATTTTGGACGCGAAATGGTATGTACCTTTCCTCAAGAGACGTGTAATAAGGAATTCGTTCATTAACGATACGTTTATAAATAGTTACCATAATAGATCTAAAAGGTACCAAACCGGATAGTATACGCGATACTCAGAAATTTTGTGAAGCTACACAAGCAGCTTTATCAGGACGCGATAAATATGAAAATCAAAAATTATCGTGTCAAATCACAGTTCATGAAAGTAACGCCAAGGTAAATAAAATGTATGACATGCTATCTCTTTCTTAACATTATTAATTTATAAATACTTTCATCGTCTTGATTAGTTCATATGGAAATGGTCAATGCAACAAACTGGAGCATCCGCAATGGTTAAAATTTCATTTCACATATATCTATATAACTTATCATCATGAATTCTCAATTTTTTTTAATTCGATTAAAAGATAGGCCTTACAATTCACACTTGGAAATATTTCACTATTTCCTGTTTCACAATTTGAAACCGTAAAGATGTGGCAAGAATGGACGGATTATTTTATTGAAGAAAGAAATCAACTCATAGTAAATAGATATTTCGATTTCATCGTATTTTTTTTTTTACATTTACGAATGTAACTCATTTATATTTATTTATAATAGAAAAGTAAAAATGTGTATGATATACGTGTTAATGATTTGGAGCAATTTAGAGATCAAATGCAAGAAAAGATTGAAGTTATGACTATTGAAAAGATACGTAATCAAGAATTGTTAATAGAAAAGGTGCAATATAGTAATAGTAATAATAATCATATTTATGATAATATGATTTAAAGTGATCGAATTTGAACATTTTCGAATTTTTATAGTTCAAGAAAGTTCTGAATACCAAGAAAAAGAAAGTGAAAAGGTTGATGAAAGTATTGAATGCGAAAGGCACGATAACCTTTTTATATATATATATTTTTTTTAAAAAAAAAAAAAGTTATTAATCTAAAGGACCCTTTTTTAGGTTCCATCATGTCATCAACTTTTCAAGCAGATTTAAATAATCCCTCAGATGAATATTTAGATGAAAATGAGTTAGAAGAAGAGGAGTTTCATGAAAGTAAACCTGGCAGGAAAGATATTGCCCGTGGTAAATCTTCATCAAAATCTAGACCTTTTTCTATTGAAGTCTCTTCTCCTTCTAAAAAAGCCAAATTAGATGATGTGTCTGAGTCAAAGAGTACAATTGTAAGCGATTCGACAAACGAAGATCAAGAAGTAAAACAAAAACCCGAATCTGTTTTAACTAAAACTTTTCGAGGTCAAGTGATTAAATCAAGAAGGTAATAAAGGAACCGTTGTCGATTCAATACTTTAACTTTTTAATTTTAATTCGAATTAATAGGATGGGACGAAAACTTGCTTCAGGATCAAATGATTCATTAAACAATATTTTGATTCCTTCTGAAGAACATGAACCGTAAGTTATTTTTGTTTAATTTTTTTTCTTTAGCATATAATATTAAGACTTTTTTTCTTTTTTAAAAAAAAAAAGTGATTCCTCTCAATCTTATAGCCCCGAGATCGAAGAATTGAATGAGACTGAATCAGCAGATGACTTATTAGCTCACATGTAAAAATTTAGATTGCCATAAATTTTATAATGATTAATGTGGCATTATTTAATATTAAATGATAGCTTTTATTCATACTCTTAATACTCAACTTTTGGTTGAGAAACCGCTTCTGTTGCGATCACTTTGTATCCTTTATTTATCACACCGGATGGATTGAATCGGTTATTATATATATCAATAGTTAATTACTATATAGCAAAACTCGGAGAAAAAATTTCCGAGTAACATTTATCACGACTTTACATTTATTACATCTAAATACTTTAATAAATCTACAGCAAATGCATTAAGTAAAATATGTATATTAAGAAAGATGAAAATTATAAAAAATATAAAATAGAAAGGAAATCATCTGCAAGTTCTGCATTATATTGAATGATTATCTTTTTATCTAATTTCTTCAGCCTTGAGAGTAAGACGATTTGTAAATCAGCTGAGTCAGGTAAGCATTTTATTGATTGTCTTCGAGTTAATTTTTCTATTAATACGACGAGATATTCTAGTTCCATATTAAAAGGGGGTATCAAAAAATAGTAGAATATTAAAATAAAATACCGAGAAATAATCGGAATATACAATTAAAATCAAACCAACCACAATTGGATGGAGAATACCAAGACCAACCAGTACGAACACCTGGATCAATGGCAACCATATTAAAATTTTTAGTGACTTGGATATCGTCACAAATTTCAATATTTTTCACCTATTGTAAATGAGAGAAAAAATTAATAGCAGCTACATGTAAAGAAAACTTATCCCTTAAACTGTAGAGGTTCGCAGGCAAATTTGCCTGCTTATTTACTATAAATTCCCTTCTGATTTACTTTTA